CTGCTGACCTGGGACCGGGAGCTGCTAGGAGTCACCGTGTCCTGGCACCACGTTGTCCCCTTCGCCCTCTCTGCCCTGCTCTATGCTGCCAACAACAACCTGGTGGTTCACATGCAGCTCTTCATGGATCCCAGCACCTACCAGGTCTTGAGTAACTTGAAGATCGTCAGCACCGCGCTCCTCTACAGACTCTTCCCGACCCAGAGACTCGGCAGGCGCAGGTGGCTGGCCCTGCTCCTGCTGGTGGCTGCTGGGGTGAGCTACAGCTGTGGTGGCCTGCAGGACCCTGGCAGCCCTTCCCAGATGAAGCTGCACATCACTCTGGTGGGCTTGGTGCTGATCTCCGTGTACTGCCTGATATCAGGCCTGTCTGCTGTCTATACAGAAGCCATCCTGAAGACCCAGGCGCTGCCTCTCAGCCTTCAGAACCTCTTCCTTTACTTCTTTGGGGTCCTGCTCAACTTGATCGGCTACTTCTGGAGCAGCACTGAGGGCAGTTTCTTGGAGGGCTTTTCCTCCTGGGTGCTGGTGATCGTGGTCAGCCAGGCCTTGAACGGCTTGATCATGTCGGTGGTCATGAAGCACAGCAGCAACATCACCAGGCTCTTCGTGATCTCCTGCTCCATCCTGGTCAACGCCCTCCTGTCCGTCACCCTCTTCAACCTGCAGCTCACCCTCCTCTTCTTCGTTGCTGCCTCGTGCATCGGCCTCGCCGTTCACCTGTACTATGGGGTCAGGTAGCTGCTGCCTTCCTGCCCTGCCTGCTCCAGGGCAGCCCTTCCTTGTTCCTCAGGGATGCTGGTGGCCTCCCCACCCTGCTCTTTGCAGGGACTCATTCCTGGTGGGTGTGTGAAAGACACACAAGGTCCCCACGTGGAGGAGTGTCTGTGGGGAGGGTGCCCTGCCCCTGATTCCAGGGGGGAAGCTGGGCCCTGCTCCAGCCTAGCCATGCCAGGGGGTTCCTGCACAGCTGGGGGGGGCCCAGCTTCGAGGCTGGGTCCTGAGTGTCTCCTTCACATGTGGGATCACGTTCTGGAGCTGCTCCCCCAGCTTCCCTGCACCAAAGAGCACACAGCTCCTCATGCCTCTCGCTGCTGCTGCTGCCAGCCCTGCAGCCTCCCTGCCTGGGCCTGACACTGCTGCTGCTCCTCTGGACAGTGCTTCCTGGTGGCAGGGAGGCCACCTCCCTGACATGCCCAGCTGATCCCAGCCCTTGGCTCTGGGGGAACTTCAGGCCGTGGGAGGTGATCCCTGCTGGCTTGTGACCCCTCAAGCCCTTGGTGAGATGGGGAAGGTTTCTCCCTCCGTGGGTGTAGAGGTACCAGGGCAGGGCTGGGTGCAGCTGCCTGGAGAACCTCATGGCATGGGTGTTTCTCCCACCTTTCTGTTTGGCCTGCCCCTTGCCCCAGCCCCTGGCTGAAGGGCTGCTGCCCTCGGGCCCCATTTCTGCCTCTTGGGCATCGTGCCCCTGCTCTGCGTGGAGCAGGTGGGGAATGGGGGTGGTGGGAACTGTTTCACCTGCTCCCCAGAGGAGGGGCAGCACCTGGATTTGTACCAGCACTGTGGCTGGGGAGCTCATGGCAGGCAGAAGTCACCGCTGGCTCTGCCCATGGTTATTAAAGTCGTGGTTCAACAGCACCGGTGTGTCTGTGCTCCCTGTGGGAAGGCATCCGTGCCACCTGGGACAGGTGTGGGACCTGGGGCACGGCCCAGCCTGAGGACACTCATGGCTGAAGGGACACCTGCTTTATTCCTCCTGGCAGCAGCCCGGTGCTCGCTGTCCCTCCCTCCGTGTCCTGGGCTGTGTCCCCGGAGTTCCCGGCAGGGCGGGTACTGGGTGCAGCGCTGACGGGCCTTGCTCGCTGTCACTGGTGGAGCTGGGGCTGGTCCCCTGGCACGGAGGCTCGCTCCAGGGAGGGGGGTTGAGGTGGCAGGGTCTGCAGCCCCCCGCCCTGCCAGGGCAGCCGTTCCCCCTGGGCTCAGGGTGTCTGTGTGGCAGCGTCAGGCGAGCCCCGGCCC